TTTGTATACTCACCAAACTTTCTACTACAGTGGCATTTATTTGATGTTTATTTTGTGGAAAAGACTATTTCCCAATACGAATATACTTTTTTTTTTCTTTCAGGAAGATGAAAAGAATGATAGCACATAACTTTTTCTTTAAAAACATTGCCATGTGTTAAAAGTGATATTGCACCTTCTTAGTAAATAAGCCAACCATCCACACAAAACTTAAAAAGATTATTGCATATTTACATGAAAGCGAAAAAGGATTTATATGCATGATGCTACACAGGGCGTTGTCATCCTCATCGTCATAGCTGGCTTGCATGATTAATTGTAGAAATCTTGACAAGATCAATTTCATGCTACGTTCATGTTTTCCTTTTGATTGGACAATAATAGGTCATTCACATCAATGCTCATGAACTGCCATAATCAGCAAGACAAATTCAAAGTTTATAAAAGGTCCTTTGGTTGGATGCTCATTTCGATTATACAGTAGCGTTTTTTTTTTTCACTGAAAGAAATTTCTTGATCAATTAGCTAGTTATAATATCTAAATTAGATGACTTTGTCAAGTTACTTAACTATTTAAGCTGTTATATTCAAACCTGATTTATTTGATGAATACTATGCATAATGCACGCAAACAACTTTTATGAAACGTAGACCAGGACCGGATCTATATATAGTCCAGGGGGGCACAGCCCCCACCCACTCATCCACCCACCCACACCCCAAACAAACTTTTATGAAACGTAGACCAGGGTCGGATCTATATAGAGTCCAGGGGCACCCCCCCAAAAAAAAATTATGGAGAAAAAAGATAGGGTGGTTTCTGTAAAACCTCCTCCCTTAAAAATTAAAATATATTCATTCTACATAATTTTTTGTCTTCCTCTTTTGAAATTGTTTGGAGATATTGACGTTGGTTATTCTACTCTTTTTGTTTGGGTTGTGGTGTGTCTCTTGTGAATAAAATTACATTAAGAAAATTTTGCATCTATCTTTTGTACGCGGCCCCAAGAACAGAAATCCTAGATCCGCCGCTGATGTAGACATTATCAAATTGTGCTATCTCATGGAGTGTCCCACTTCAAATGTACTATAATGTAGGTATCGTCATTGTCTATGTGCCTCCACAAGTAGTAGGACCACTCAAAACAGCAAAAGGTCATTTAATCTGAACCATCCTAATTAATTTGCCGATCAGCAATTCAAATGACCCTTTCGATTGCAATTCGTGCAATGAAAAGAGTGAAAAGATTTGTGTTGACCAAGTGAGCGTGCACGAAAATTATTTGCAACTGAAGATTGTCTTTTAAATTTATTTTGCAAATGAGAAACCTTATTAAACAAAGGTGGTTTACTTGAGAAATTTGGCAAGTTTGAACATTTTTTCAAATCATAACAAAACTTAGCCAAATGACCAAATCTACCACAAATATCACATTCAAACACTTATGGTCTACTAGAAACATTTGGCAAACTAGAATTCCTTTTCAAATCAAAGTAAAACTTTGCCAAATGGCCAAACCGACCACAAATATCACAATGATACACACTAGCATGCTTATGATGAACATTATGTGCATGTGCATGAGTGTATGATGAAGAAGCCTTATGAGATGCACAAGAGGCATTAGGGGCTGTTTGGTTCAATAGAGGGTAGGAATAGGATTAGGAATCCTATTTTATTTATGGATTCCAACCTAATCCAAAAAAAATTTATAGACAAGTTATAGTTTTATGGAATCCCATTTTTTTGGCATTCTATGTTTGTTTCACCCAAAGGATTAGGAATCTCACTTTTATAGAATTGGTCTAATTCCTAATACCATGTTTGGTTCAGAAACGAATTTTTTTGGAGTCAATTCTGTAGCAACGGAATGATAAATCAACTTTGGGATTCAAATAAAAACACTGTAGCAACGGCTATATCCACAAGCAAGTAACCACAGGCAAGGAAAAACAAAACAGCTCCCACCAAAATATTACATAGCTACACAAGCTCAAAAACAAAACAACAACAACCCAGACCCATAGGAATAAATTCCTACTTAGAACCAACAAGAAGCAAGTTTTCTTGCTGTATTTGTTTCTTCAATTCAATTCCACATAAGATAAAACACATCAAACACATCATGCTTCAAACTTAAATGAAAACAAACTCCAAGCACAAAATAAAATTCAGTTAGTTTTCTACAAATTATCTCTTGTTTCATAACCAAAATCAAAATCAAAATCAAATGAAGCAACAAAGTTTAAGAAAAATATACCTGCTTAGCAACAAACTCAGGGTAATTGTCCTGCAGCAGAGTGAGTGCTTTCTTAGTAGCAATCCTGAGCTCCTTCTTCCCCGGTTTGGGGGTATTCTTAAGATCAGTAACCTGCACCATTGAACAAACAGCACCAGGGCATCTCTAATCCCCTTCTCCAAGAACTGAATCCTCCACCTCAAAAGCAGCAACAGTTTCAATACGTAAAGAAATCAGTCTAACAAAGCACATTATTTACTGCTTCTTGAAAGGGAAAAAAAAATAAGCAGAAGCAACCAAATTCATCAAATTTTCTACTAAAAGGAAAAATAAAATAAAATACCTTCATTAGTCTTCGTCCATGGCCTCTCCTCCTCCTTCGTCTTCCCTTCGTTGAGTGGGAAATTAGGGTTAGGTTTTAACTCAGGGGGTTTTTGATGGGTTCAGAGATCGAAGGTTCGTGGGTTTGGCTTGTAACTGCTGAGAGTGGGAGAATCGCGAAGTTTCTGCTCACGACCTCGGTGCTGGGAGTGGATTCGGCCGGCTTGGGTTGGGTCTCTTCGGCCATGGCCTCAGACAAAGGGGGCGGGAGAAGAACAGCGGGGAAACCACTGAAATCCAGATCTAAGGTTGCGAAGATTAAGAATCAGAATAAGAAAAGAGGAGCGGTGTCAGCTTTTTGGCCCAATTCCTCTCAAACGGAGAGGATTTGGGATTCTATAAATATGCACTGTTTTGACCCCTTTATGGATTAGCAAATCTGTAAATTTTTTCTGAACCAAAATAAAGATTAGGATTCACTTGGAATCCTTTAATTACGAAAATGCCACTGTCAGACCCCAAATACTAATCCTATTCTATAAATTGGTGAAACAAACACCCCTTAGTATAGGAAAGGTGTTTACAAATTTAAAGATATATGTTTAAAAAAAAACTCGTAAAATCATCTTTAGATTTGCGTGCATGAGTACATAATTAACCTCTTGTTTAACGTGAAAAAATAACAACCAACTGAGCGACGTGTCGGCAGGAAAAAAGAGATTGCTTGATCTTTCCCATTGTAACCGGAGAAAACCGGTAACTGTACGTGTTAATTGTAATTTGTTAAAAAAATTATTTTTGTTTTTGGGAAAGGGTGAATTGCCGTTTAATCTTTTCATTATGGAGAGAATTTGCCGGTTCTTTTAGGAACACCCGCGCTACATGCACGCATGAACCCGGCCGGTGTAAGTACCGCGCGTTTACCGGAAGCTTGCGGTTGAAATCCCCTCCGCCTCCCCTCTTTGCTTCCGGGTTTTAAACAACTTATGCGGTAATTGGAAGATTCACACCCCAAAATCATAATTATCATTAACTAACACTAATCATCATGTTTAAACTTCTAAGTAGCTCAAAACCTCCAATTATTACTATTATTTGCTCAAAAGCTACCCTTTAAGTTTTAAATGCAGAGTTCATTACGTCTACATAATGTACAAAATATTTATCTAGTCTTTTTTTCTTTTAGAAGGAGAAGAACATAAATTGATGTATATGAGCTAGATTCCAATATGGCTAGCTGGACTTGTTTTATTTTATTTTTATTTTTTTCAACTTGAATTTTTCCTCACTCTTAACTTGGATCATCTTTATCGCATTACCCTAGAATGGCTACCTAATAGATAAGCGTTCTGTGAGGCAATACATCAAGACGCAGGGTAAAGTAACATTTCAATTTTGCGGCCTAGTTTTAGTTTTTAGCTTGATCTCCTTCTATAAAGGCTATATTGCACTTAAATGGCCCGCCTATAGATCAATCAACATTGCATTTAAGTGACCTCTATTTAAAATTGAGCAAATAGATACTTTAAAATATTTAAGTATCACAGATAAATGCCCTAGAATTTAAAAAAAAAGTTAGTTTCGCTATGTATCCAAATACAGCACATAATAGAGGGTACTAAAGAGTAACTTTTAGAAACATTAAGATATTTAAGTGAGTTTATTTACAAATTGCAGGTATTTGTATGCACATTGGGTGAATAAAAGGGCAGCAAAGTACAACACTTCTAAACTTTGGCACATTTATCTATAAATTTTAAATACTTTTGGGCATTTATTTGCTTGGTTTTAAAATAAAGGTCACTTAAGTACAAGATAGGTGGAACTATAAAGCATAAGTGCAACTTTTATAAATATCAGGGCCTAACAAAGAAAAGGATACCCCTTTTATTCATGAAATATGTGTCTTCAAAAAAGAAAAGAAAACATTGCCAATAATTCAAAGATCATTCAAAAGGTGTGACATGTCTCATGCCATGTGAGCTACTAATGAACCGCTGGCCAACACAGCCTCCACATCATTTCTCCCAATGAGTCTCACACGCCATCTCTCTTCTCGCCATCTCTCTTCTCACATACCGCCCATAACTAATTATCCCAAATTCTTATATTAAAGAAAGAAAAATTCCTCAAGGACCCAAAATATGGGACCAATAGGGAGTATAAGTGAGGTGTCTCTCTCCTATTAGATAATGAGTTGGCCATCATTAATGGTAACCAACTCATTATCCAATAGGAGGGGGACACCTCACTTGTCCCACTTATTGGTCCCATATTTTGGGTCCCTGTAGCAAAGCTCTTAAAGAAATCCAAAAATTAAACATAATCCGATGTCATTATAAAAATATTTACTCAAGTGTCAATTTTTGAAGCCCAAGCGGGACGCAACCATCTCCCCACCCCCTCCCTCCCTCTATATAAACCCGTACTCCTCCGCTCTTTGCTTCCCACAACAAACATACAAAGTTGCAAACACCATCACTTTCTCTCTCTAACAAAAACCTCCTGTTCCTCTCTCTAAAAATCCTCCATCCTCTATTTTCTAACCGCAGCCATGCCTGAAGCCCCCAACTTAAACCCAAAACAGCACAAAAAGGCTCTTGAATTCATCGAGACCGTGACTGAGAACGCCGATACGGTTCAAAAACAAGTTCTCTCGCAAATCCTCAACCAAAATGCGTGCGCTGAGTATTTACAACGCCATGGTATCTCCACCTCCGACGTTGATGCATTTCGCCGTCAGATTCCGATTGTAAGCTATGAAGACATTCAGCACGATATTCAGCGCATCGCCAACGGTGATAAATCTCCCATTCTTTCAGGCCGCCCCATTTGCGAGTTCCTCACTAGGTGAGCTTACTG